GGCCCCGGCCCGGCCGCATTGTCCGCGGAGGGCGCGCGGGCGCCCCCTGGCGCGGTCGCGGAGCGCCGCAGCCCCCATTGTTCTGCGGGGGCCGCGGGGGGGCGGCGGGCAGCGACCCCCGGTACCGACCCCCGGCACGCCGACCGGCCGGCCCCGCAGTGCGTCCTTCTCCGGCCCGGCCCGGCCCGGCCGCTTCCCGCTCCGCCGTGAACCGCGGGGCTGTGCGGAGCTAACCGGTCCCCGCCTCCCGCGGCGCAGGCACCGCGCACCCCGGCTCTGTCCGGCGGGGCTGTGCGGGGCTCGGGGCCGGCGGAGGGGCGCGCTCCGCTGCCGCTGCCGGGCGGCGGGGCCGGGGCTGCTCTCCAGGGCCGGGTGCTGAAGGTGCGCACTCCGCACCGCACCGCGCTCTCGGTGAGCATCCCTCCTGCTGCTGCCGGAGCTGCGGGGCTCACCGGGGGGGGCCGGGCGGGGGCTCCGCGTCCCGGGACAGGCGGGGCCGGCGGGAGCGGGCGGGGGTTCTGCGGGGGCCGCGGGGGGGCGGCGGGCAGCGACCCCCGGTACCGACCCCCGGTACCGACCCCCGGCACCGGGCCCCGGCAGCGCCCGCACCGGAGGTGAGCGGGACAGACCCAGCGAGAGCTGTCCCTGCCGTGAGGCCGTGCGGGGTGCGCCCGCGGCGCGGTGGGTGCCCGGAGGTCGCCCCCCGGCCGGTTCCGCGCGAGTGCGGGCCGGGCCCCGCCGCGGAGCACGGCCGGGGCTGCCTTCCCGCTGCCCGGAAACCACGCGGCAGTGGTCGTGGGTGTAGAAGGACACGGGGGGCTGTGGCACGGCCAGACACGCGTGGGACAAACCGCAGCATGGGGCAGGGGGGCCAGGGACCGGGGGGCTCTGCTCTGACAGCGATGAAAATCCTGGGATATTTGTGCCGCCGAGTCCGCCCTTCTTTTATTTCAATTGATCCCGACGAGGGCAGGTCTTTTCCCAGTGGGCAGGTACACAGCACGCTGACCCCAGAGCTGCCCGCCTTGCCGGCACACCCGGAGGGGTCTGAGGGGACACGGGGGTCTCTGCGGCAGGGAGATGGGCACAGAGAGTTCCCGCACGGGGGACAGCTGCCGGGGGAGGCTGGGATGCGGCGGAGCAGGGCGAAGAGGAGCCACGGATGATTGATGGCCTTAATCCCTGGCCGACCTCTAACCAGAGGTGCTGCGGGTCAAACACCCACGGCCTGGGGTCTCCAGAATCCCCGTGGAGAGTGCTCGGGCTTTCCCGAGCTGCGGGGCAGTCCCGGCTGTGCTGCCCTTCGGGACAGGGACGCCGATCCCCTGCTCGGCTCCAAGGCCGACTGCAAACTCATCTCGTCCCTTCCAGCACCCGCGGGCATCCGGCTCTTCTCTGCTCGCGGCCACATGAAGGTGCCGGGGTCTGACACGGGCGTCAGAGGCACAGAAGGGCTTTGGGGTTTTTGCCGAGCACGCGGTGATGTCGCCTTCACAAACAAACGTGTATCGAGAGGGAAATCGATGCAGATAATGTTTAGAAGATTAAAAGAGCATTAATGCTGGCAACAGGAGCATCAACGCGTGGACCCAGTTCTCATTGATCTGGAACCTGAGCCGGCTCATTTCCAGTAACGTGGCTGGTGTTTTTCCTTCCCAGCACTGGTCCCGGGTGGGGGTTCCCCGTGGAGCCTTGCATACAGAGCAGAAAATCAGGAATCACAGCTGCATGCAGAGTTATGCCTGTATAATTCTGGATCTCTGCTTTACCAGGCCCCCTGAATGCCTCTGCATCCAGGAGTAAAGTTTGGAGATAGCTCAGGTGCTGAGTGGCCATGGGCTCCCCATGGAGCGGGAAAGACCTTTGCAAATTACCTTTCCCTTCAGGAAATCGATTATTTTAATTTCCTTTTATTACCACGTGTGAATATGCAGCCCCATTGCCTCAGTGCTTCCTTCTCCCCCTTTACTCGCTTGCTTAAATCCCTCTGAGCCTGGGGAAAAAGCCACAAGTATTTCAGGTTTTTTAAAAACAAAAAATACCCACCAGCTATTTGCCCCATACTCCTGGAAATTTTTCCCAAGTGGGGTGGAAGGGAAGGGAAATCCCCCTCTCCCTGTGGGAGCAGTAACAATGTGGGTGTGCTTAGTATTTTTTTCTTATTATAGAAGATATATAGTGTTGTCTATCCTATTCTAACCTAATCTAATTCAATGTTATTATTTCTGTGCTTATTGTCTTGTCTTGGGGGTCTTTAGGAGTCCTCTGTCGGGGGGCTCTGTGCGGGCAGGATCTGCTGTGCACGGGGAGTTCCGTGGGTGCTCGGGGCCCAGAGGGCACAGCGCCCTTTTGGGGTGCTGGGGGGCTCTGTGCGGGCAGGGGAGTTGGTGGGTGCTCGGTGCTCCGAGGGCACAGCGCCCTTTTGGGGTGCTGGGGGGCTCTGCAGGAATGTGCGGGCAGGGGAGTTCGTGGGTGCTCGGGGCTCCGAGGGCACAGAGCCCTTTTGTGTGTCCGTGCCCGTGCCTGGCCGCGGCTACAGCCGGGGAAGTGCCCTCCCCGGGACACCGTGCTGTCCCCGGGGCACGGCGGGGGCTCGGCCTAACCCTTTTGCCGCAAAACCACCCCGGCATCATCCCGGGAGCTCGTCCCGGAGCGGGCTGGGCCCCAAAGGGGCTGGTGCTCTTCCCGCCGGGAGCGCGGGGCTGCGCTCGGGCCGGGGCGCTCGGGGCTCCGGGCCCTGCCTGCCGCCGCGGGAAGGTTTCGGGAAAGCCCCGACCGACAATCCCTAAATTTCTGCGGGGTCAGACGGTCTGTTCACCGCCTGCGGCGCCGGATCGCCTTATTGATGATTAAACACTTCTGTAGCAAAACACCGTGAAGGGTTCATTCGTGCCGGGCTGCCCCATCCCCGCTCCGTGCTCCGACCTGTCAGTACCACGGAGAGCGGCGGGGAGGGACGAGAGCAGGGCCCGGGGGACGGCAGCAGGAGCGAGGCGAGGCCGCGGGGCAGCGGTGGCCGCGGACTCTGCCTGTCCGGGCCCGGCGAGCCGTGGGTGGCAGTGCCAGGAGTGAGCAGTGTCACATCCCAAGTGCCACAGACCAAGGAGAGGGACCTCACAGTGTGTTCTTTGTGCCCTACCACGCGGTTCTTCCCTGGATTTTGACACTATTTTGTTGTCTGTATCCCCAGCTAAAAATGAAGGCATGATAACATCTGTATCAGGCACGTTACCTATTTATAAAGCTATTTCTTAGCGTTGAACTAAATATACAGGTATGTAAAGGTTCTTTGAAAGGTGCTTAGTGGCTTGAAATATCGGTGCTCTCTTCAGCTATAGATTAGTGGTTGTGTTTGAACAATCCATGCGGTAAATTGTGGTGCTGGCTGATAAATTATATTTCTCACGTACAAACTTTCCAAAATAATCCCCTGCCCCAGCTCTTTGTTCCACATCATTTCTGAAGGCGTTTCTGCCACACAGAAATCTGAATCCTGTTTTTGCAAAGCAAACGAGTTTTATCGGTTTCTTGATTATTTGATGAAGTTAACTCTGAGTACATTTTGGATTAAATGCATTTCTGTATTTTCTCCCCTAATTTTTAAAAGAGACAATTAATTGGTCATCATGTGTTGCTCATTCTGAAGCTGTTCTTCACTATTTCCTAGTAAGATTTTCCCCCTAGCATCTCTTATTTTCCCTGCATCTCTTGCCCATCACTGTTTGAACTGAAATATCCCAAACTCAAGTATTCCTCTCCAGCTGAAAATTGCCACCATTTATTTGTGGTGAGGCAAGGTACAGGGGAGAACATTTTTGCCAAAAGGATTATTCCCAGTAACTGGTGTTGGTTCTTCCCACCCTCTGTAGGAGCATTTTTGCTCTGCGCTGTGTCCTCGGGTGCCCATCCTCGGTGCTCCTCCCTGGTATTATTCACAAAACCTTGTCCTGGATGTTGCTGCCATCCAGCAGCTGCCAGAGCTTTTCCTTCCCTTCCAATTAGCCCTTACGGGGAGATGACAAGCTCCCTGCAGTACCCAGCACAGCTCGGAGCTCTGAAGGCAGCAGACTCCTCATCAGAGCAGCTCCCCTGGAGCTGCCTTCAGAGTGCAAACGGGGCTCTGCAGGTGTGCAGAGAATGCATCTCAGAGGGAAGGCTGAGAGGGCTGAAAGGCACTGCACACATCACTTGTCCTGACAGCCTGCCCCTTTCTTCAGGAGCTCCAAAGGGGATTTTTTACCTAAGCGATCTCTTCCAGGGCTTACAGGTACAAAAAACCCCTTAATGACTGGCCTTAATCTCACTTTTTGTCTATTAAACCCTTTGCTTCTCATCTTATCCCCACTAGACACAGCGAGGAAGAACTCAGCCTTCCTTCTGATAGCAATCTGTTTGTATTTAAGGCTCCCATCTTGTCTCCTGTCTTCTCTGGAAAAAGCCCATCGTACCTGGGCGATGAATATGCAGGAAAAGCACTATATCCGAGGGGACAGATAATACATCTCTTTTTCCAAGGTAAAAGATTTTGTATCCAGCTCTATCAATCTTGCAGACTTCTACATAAAAGGCTCTCTGATTTATAGAGGAGTTTGCACACAGAAATCATACCAAACAGACTAATCTCAAATGGGTTTGGTGATAGCATCAGCCAGACAACTCGCTGACGGCAGAGAGAAATGCAATCAAAAAAGAAATTGGAGTGTTTTGGGGTTGTTTGGGGGTTTTGAGCTATAAAATCAAACTGCTCCGTTGTGAAAAAAAGGGACTCAAACCACTGGTAAATGCTGCTCAGAGGAATTATTAGACAAGCGATAGAGGCTGGCAGGTTCCCAAAACGCAAATTGTCTCCAAGACCAAAATATCTCTCAGTAAGCAGGGAACATATTTATGAGCAGCGGTGATTTTCCAGCAGTTCTCATCCCCTCCTAATGGGATGGGAGCACGGGGCCTGTGCCGAGGCATTAAGCTTTGGCAAGCAGCACTGGGCTGCAGGAGGTGAAGGAAGAGCAGAGGTCTTCCTCGGGGGGCTTCCCACACACCTTCCTCTCCATGCTGAGAGGGAAAAATCAGTTGGGGCTCCAAGAGAACACCTTGGAAACAACCGGGCTGTCAACTTCTTTCTCAGAGCATTGCAGGAATCCCTGGATCTCCAAACAGGGAGCACCTCACCATTGCAATGGATGAGCAAGCAGGTCTTCTCTGGAAGAACAGAATTTACTTTGTGCTACACATCCAATCTGGATAAATGCCATCAAGGGCATTCCTAGGGTGGCAAAATTTAGGATTTTATTGTGTGTGCAGCAGCTGGGGTGAGCAGCACTGGCTGCCCACCCCGACAATGTGATTATTTGCATCTTCATTCTGATTGCTCCTTGTTCCATAATGATTTTGTACACAGCGGAGTACTTAACCTAATTTGTATTGATCTCAATCGCTCTCATTCGTGCATACTTAATTCAGAGAGGTAATCAAATTGATTTCTGAGGCCTAGTTTTTAAAAGATTGTAGTAACAGGGATATACAAGGGGTTGCTTTAAGTGAATCAGAGCAAAAGAAAAACATTTGAAATCTTTAGAAAACGTTTTGATGGTCATTTCATTGTGTTCAGTATTACCAGAGTAATTCCATTTCCCTCACATTGAGTCCTCTCCAAAATCGAATAGAGGAGCAGTTTTAGTTCCATCAGACAGATAACTGGGTTTGGGTGACTTTGCACCCACACAAACCGCACAGGCGGGATCGATATTCACCGCCTGTCCTTAGGAACGCTGGAGACTGAGGGAATATCGGTCCCTGCTGGGCTCCTTCTTAGCACCTGCTCTTTGTTTCGTGGCTGCAGAGTCGCTTTTATTAAAACATCCAGGGGCAGAGAGGCACAGGAGCTGTGTTGGTGATGTTTCCAGCATCCCGGGGCTGCTCGGGCGCTGCTCCGGCCCCTGGGACCCCTCCCGGGCCTCTTCCTCCTTCTGATGCTGGTGACCTTGGTGTCCTCATCTCTGTGTCACTCCTGGAGAGGTGTAGGAGCCTTGGAGCATCCCTGCCCCACGCCTGAGGGCTCACAGGGTGGGGCTGAGCTGAGCACCAGAGCTTCCCGACATTTTTCAGGATTTGCGGCTGTTTGGAATGGCTGGGCTGGCTGGGTTCCTCTCTCGTGGGGAAAAAAATGGAAAATCAGAGTCATTGTTGCAGAAAGTCAGGCAAATGAGCTATTAGTAGGGAAATTCAGTGTGGTGATACTCCGGGTGCCACAGTGCAGCACCCTCTTAGTGCCCTTCAAGTCGTGGGCACCCCTTTAGTCCACGCTACAGGAGGCAGCACTCACCCCAATTCTGAGCAGTTCCTGTATTGTTTCTATTAAAGAGCATCTTTAATCCAATGCAGAAGAAAACTATTTTATTGTATATTTTTTTCCACAGTTACGGCTTTCAGTTCTTGCTAGTTGTCCATTTTCTTCCATAGAATATGTTCAGGTTTAACCACAGCTAATAAATCAAATTGTGCTTAGAATCCAGATGGTCTCTTCCCTTCCCTCTGCTGTTAAAACCTTTCTCTTTCTTCCTGGAAAATCACTTGATTTTATTAGAGTGCTCACCCCATTTTTCTCTGCTGAGAGATGCACGTCAGGTGCAGCGTTTGCCTTTGTGGGGCCTTTTCAAGAGCAAACTCAACAGTTCAAGGAAAGTATTTACTGAATGCATCAAAAAGCACATACCTCTGCATTATTTATTATCAGATACCAATAACTGTAAAACGCAGAGTATCTCAGGACATAAATTAGTGATGGTAGGAAACACTCCACCAATCCCAGTGTCCCGGAACCGATTAGAAGCTGCAGCAAAGATGCTGCTGCTCATCATGTCCCCAGCACCAGGGACACGTGGCCAAGCGAACCCAGCTTAACATCTGCTTTTTCAGCTCAGACAGGCAGCTGGATGTTATCTGCAGTGTCAGAGAGCCCAAATTCTTCCCTCCTGCTGCCTTTCAGCCCGACTCTCAGGACCAGCCTTGTGCTTTGGGGTGTTTGGAGCTCTGACCTTCACCTCCCTCCCAGAGGCAGCTCTGCTGCAGCCACTGGAATTTGGCAGCTGAGAGGGGTCGGGTCAGGCACTCCAAGAAAACACCCCAGTTTCCTGCAGAAATGCTGCGAGATCCTGTGCCTGCACGGAAGGATGCAGCCAGTGCCACAGTGGCTGAGCCAGGCTCCACACAGGTACAGCCCTGACTGGGTTAATTACAGACATTTCCACAGTCTGACTTTTACTTTTGGGCCAGCTTCATTTCACGTTCCAGACCTGCAGAATTATTTAACAGGGCTGCTTAAAACCCGCCCGCTTATCAATTCTCTGGGCTCATTTTGTCCCAGCACATTACCTAACCATGTCAACATATGGATTTTCTCTCTGTGCCCGGTGCAGACGGCCTGGGCAGGCTATTTTTAAGTGTGGGTGTGCTCCGGCAGCGGTATTGGTTTCAGCACTTGCTGTTCTCTCTCTGCTAATAAATACAGAGCAGCTATTAATACGGATGGGTTTTAGGATCCATTAGCATGGCTCAGCGATGGTCCAGCACCGCTGCCCTGCGTGACCCGAGCTCTGATGGCTGGCTTCAGCCTCGGGACGTGGCCCGGGAAGGGGACAGGCGATGGGAGCGGTGCCCTGGGGGCGGCAGCAGAGGGGCAAGGCAGGGCCAGGCGAGCCCTGCCTGCCCTGGGAGGCCAAGGAGCTCCATGGTGCTTTTTCCCCTTGGTGCTCACACCGAGTTGCTGCTACCAGAGCTTTGACTGGGGTTTGCTTTGGGCTGTTATTCCTGGCTGTTGAGAGGAGTTGGGGGTAGAAAAGCAATGCGGCCCACCGGATTCCTCTGGGAGCGCTCCGGGCCCGTGTGCCAGAGTGGTGCTGGCTCAGCCGGTGACGCTTGCCCGCACCGTGTGACAGCGCCTGCCGTCGGGGTGGCTGGTGGGGTCTGTGGGCACCACCCTGACACTTTCTCTCTGTCTCTGCCACCCCTCCCAGCCTGCAAACGCAAAGAGCAAGAGCCCAACAAAGAGCGGAACAACTCCCAGAAGAAATCCCGCCTGGTTTTCACGGACCTCCAGCGCCGAACGCTCTTCGCCATCTTCAAGGAGAACAAGCGTCCCTCCAAAGAAATGCAGATCACCATCTCGCAGCAGCTGGGCCTGGAGCTCACCACCGTCAGCAACTTCTTCATGAACGCCCGCCGGCGCAGCCTGGAGAAGTGGCAGGACGACCTGAGCTCGGGGGGCTCCTCCTCGGCCCCCAGCAGCTGCACCAAGGCGTGAGGGGCGCGGCACGGCGCAGAGAGAGCGGCTCGGCAGCACGGCCCTCGCCGGAGACTAAAGCACAATCCCCCCGCAAGCAAGGCCAGCCAGCTGTTCGTTCCTACGGCTTCTCGTCAGTCTTAGCAGGCGCAGGCTCCACGTTAACCTCTCTCCACACAACCCTATGCTCAGGACAGGCGAAGCGGGTCTGAAACGTAGGGGAGTCGTTCTTGAGCCCCGGGTTTCCGTGCTCGGCGGCCTCCCGTGCCCGGTGCCTGCCGCGTGCCACGCCACAACGGAGCACAAAGTCGGATACTAAAAACCCAAGACCCTGTTTTTAAACTCAGGCATGGTTTTTTTGTTAAGCGTTTTAAGGGGGAAAAAAGATCAGATTCAGGGTTTTTTTTGGTTGTTTTTTTTTTAGTTTAATTGGATCAGAAAAGTGCAGTTCTCTTGAGCTCAAAGCATCAAGCACAAAGCCGGTAGCTACAGCCGCGTCCGGCCCTGGGCTGCCGGGGCGGCGGTGCCAGCTGCAGCCTGACATCCCGGGAACACGAGCCTCAAGCACAGCTGGCAGTTCCTCACGAGCTCTGTGTTTGTACCTAATGCACACTCAGGAGGTCGACGGAACCGCTGCAGTTCACGGAGCAAACACAATGTTTTGGATGGCTTAGGTTAATTTACGTTATTACATCCTTTTTGGTTTCTGGGAATCTGGTTTCTCCTCGGCAACGCCTGTTACCGAAACCTTTTTAGCGTCCGGCGTATTTTTGTTCCTTTTATCGGTATTTTATGGTACTTCCAAGCAGGAAAAGAAACAGAAACAAGCCCTTCAGATGCCACCGCCCGTTTCAGATGTGCCGCGTTTAGCTCTATCGCATCCCTAAGTTCCTTTTCCCTGCCGGCTCCCCGAGCCGGCGGGAACACAGCACACCAAAGAGACAGGATTTCTGCAAGCCAAAGATGTTTATACCTCGCCGTTTCCCTCGGCGGGTGGCTGGCCGGCGCTGGGGGAGCCTGGCGAGCCGCACGGCCTCTCTCAGCTCCGTGCCCGGGGCCGCCCTGGCGGCGGCACAGCGCCCCGGCCGCTCCGCCACAGACACTTGAGACTTTTTTTATGTACTGCTTAATCGAAACCAAAGAAACGTTTTCTGCACCTACTTCTTCTGCAACGAACTGTTCCATTGAAAGATGAAATAAAAAAAGATTTTAAAAAACCAAGGAAGCATGTCAGGAAGCAAACGAGTCCCACACTGTGTTCTACAGACATCTTGGACGTTTTCGGAAGCAGATCTCAAAGAAAGGGTTGACGAGAACGAGAACAAAGCAAAGCCAGTACAATTGCTGCTTCATTTGACGACTCAAGTCCTCTTAAAGTTGAAGATTGTCTTTAATTTGTGCCTATGCAGTTTTTTTCAAAAGAACAAGGAACAGAGCAACCAAAACCTCGACAGCTACAATACCAAAGATGAGGATTCTCACGACTTGTGTTTCGGTTTGTTTCTCCTCTTGCACGACTAATGCACATAACCCCACTGATCTCTGGACAGGTAACCTCTCGTGAGTCTTGGTGCAGCCACAAGGGTGGGTTCATTTGTGTTTTCCCCGTTTCTGCCCCACACAGCATCTCCCTGAGAGCTGCAAGTGCAGGATGTTGGGATGCTGCCCTGGTGCATCTCCTCCCTCCAGGAAGCACTTGTGGCTTAGCTGTGAATTGTGTGTTGGTCTGGAGCTGTGAACAGCCACCCTCCTGTACGTGGCATCAGTCGAGTGACCTCCACCCTTCTTTCTCCTCCCCAGGGGTAAAACATGCAATATGTGTCACTGTGAGTGCTGAGCAGCGCCACAGCCCGGCTCCAAACCTCCACCTGAACCAAACCCGAGTATTCAGCAGTTCCTGGGGCAGTTCAGGAGCTGCTTCTGACGTATTAGCCTTGTTTGATCCAGGTCATGACACATCTTGCTCCTCTCTGCCTTCAAACAAGGGCTTCATTTTAACTGCTTCACAGAACTGCTGCGGTCACTTTCCAATGACTGCGCTTAAAATAGATAAAAAAAATCAAGAAGCCGTGTCTGCTCAGGGCAGGAAAAGTTTCTGGAAAGTAAATTCAGGATCCCCATAGCTAAAATGACAGCACGTGCCTGCTCTGGGGATCAAAGGGTCCTTTGGCAGATTCCAAAGAGATTTGGAGAATCCTTGTAGCCAGACATGGAATGAACTTGCAAAAAAATATGGTCCCAATCTCTCTTGATGTGTCCTGGGGGCTCCTCACCCAAATGCCAGACGTTTGAGTGCAGAGTTTGGAGCGAGCAGGCTGTGGAGCAGGGCCCAGCTGAAGTTTCACTTTCATTCCCACCCAAGTGTCCATCAAACCAGCCCCTGGTGCATTTTCATCTCGGCATTGCCCTCGGGGGAGCTGTCTCGTGCTGGAAGTGTCCCCCTGCAATCTGCAGTGCCAGGGGGTGACAGGGAGCAGTGACAACCGCAGCGCTCCTTCCTGCAGCGAGAGGGCAGGGATGTATCCCGCAGGGAATGAGCCCCAGGCATCCTCTGAGCGTGTGGGACACCTCACCTGAGGGACACTCACCTGGGGACATCCACCTTGCCGCAGCTCTGCCTCCCACCTTCCCCACGGGCCGAGGGGAGCTGCCCACAACTCCTGGTCAAGCCTGGGAGCAAAGATCTTTTTGCTCCTGCTCACAGCTCATCCAATAGCCCCAACAAAGGCAGTTTAGATCAGGCACTGAATTACAAATTTCTCTTCGGTGAAATTCTCTCCAAATCGTGGAAGTGCAGCACCACAAACGAGGCTTCTCTGGGCTGGGGCCTCGAACCTACCAACAGTCACAATCCATTTCCACCCCAACATTTTTCATTTTTCATCCCTGCCTGTCTCGTGGCCCCATCTCCCATTTCACCGTGTGTTTTCTCTAGCAGCTCCCTGAGAGGAGGGAGCTCTGTGGTGGGGGTCTGTCCGTGCGGGCAGAGGCTGTGCTGGCTCTGCCCACTCCACCCCGAGCCCCGGCAGCTTTTCCACCTCCGGGCCCTGTCCTGCTGAGCCCACAGAGCTCTGTAACGTAACCCGTTCCTTTATTTATTGTGCTGCCAAAGACTCGTGCGCGCAGAGAGCATCCCGGCATCTTCTGCACCGGGAACTTGGAGCCGCAGCCTCGGGCACGGCCGAGAGGAACGGAGCTCTCGAGGAACAAAGAACCCTGCCTCGGGTGGCAAAGCTTTGTCGCGGATGTGTCACCCACAGCTGAAGCCAAAGACCTGCGGAGGACTGGAGCTCGCTCCGCCCGGGAGGGCAGGGCTCTCCTTTCCGCGGGGAACCGCCCCGGAGCGCCGCTTCCCTCGCTCCTCACCATTCCCGAGTGTTTTTATGAGACCGGGAAACTTTCTACTTGGCCGCCTTTATATTTATTATGGGGAATTTTTATTGGTTACGTTTTTTAAGGAGGCAAAGCTTGAAACGGTTTTATTTTTTTTTTTTCCAGACGCCTGCGGGTTTTAACCCGATATGTTATCTATCACTAATGTAATTTATTTAATTTAGTCTTAGGGCAGGTCCTGAGATCTCTGTTCAGCCTGAATCCCATTGTGTTTCGGTTTAGCTTTTGAATTCAGCGGGAGTTTTGCCTGAATGTAGATGGGGGTCGGGCTCTGATGTTAGCTATTTGTATCTATTTAATTCAGCCGTTTAGGAGTTCATTTGGGAGTAACTTTGCTTATTTGTCCCTAGGACTGCATCGAGGATGCAAAGCCTGTCAGTAAATACACTTCAGAGCTGGGATTGCTTTGTAGAGCAGCCAGCTTCTGTCAGACAGGGGAAGAACAACTCCTTCCGGATAACAGAAGTCTAGTTTTAATTCCTTAATTCATTTTAATTGTTTAAATATCAACGTTTAAATTATTTAAGTTAATCTCTTCCTTCCTGATTAGAAAGCATGACATACCTTTATTATGGCACATAATATAACTTATTTATTTAACTTATTCATTGTCACCCGGGGATGCCCTCGTAGAGTTTTTATTTTTTAATTAGAGTTATCTATAAAGCACTACAGCTGATTTCCCGTAAGAACAGCAGAGCGAACTTTGAGGACAAGCAATGAATATTCAACCTGAAACTGTGCGTTCAGAAAAATAGGGAAAAAAAAAAAAAAAAAGAAAAAAAAAGACACTGGGATACTTTGCCTGAACTTTGTGGCTTCTTAAAACTTAAGCTGGGAGAAAAATAATCCATGCCAAGGAAAAAAACTGTGCGTTCAGAAAAATAGGGGGAAAAAAAAAAAAAAAGAAAAAAAAGGACACTGGGATACTTTGCCTGAACTTTGTGGCTTCTTAAAACTTAAGCTGGGAGAAAAATAATCCATGCCAAGGAAAAAGAGAGAAACCCTTAAAGTAGCTGCTTCCAAGAATGAACTTCTGTGTGTGGAAAAAAAAAAAAAAAAAAAAGGAAAA